TCCTTTGAGGAGGCGCTGTTCATTTCTGAGGCACAGGACCGGAACATAGAATGGTACATAAAGCTTGCAGCAGTCATTCACTATGCAATCCAGTGCCGCCATGTCATTTATGATAAGAAAAAAAGAGGTACTACCCAGACTCACTGGATCATTTTTTCAAGAGGGCAGATGGAACTGAATCCAGCAGGGAACCAGAACCTATGCCATCAAAGTTAGGCATGAGTGAAATTGCAGCTTGCTCTCTGTCTCCTATTGCTGATGATTCTTCAGCTCTGCCATCTCCCACCTTCTCTCCCTCCTCCAGTCAGTAACTCTTCTTGCCTGTTCACTCAAGGCCAGCCCCCGTATGCCAGCTATTGTTCTATTGGTACTGCTGTACTTTTCAAGATACTGTAAGATTTAAATTTTTTTATTTTTTGTTTGTTTTTTATGTATTATTTGTGTGAAAAGTGTAATAAATCCATTGCAGGACAGTACCATATACTCGATCGTGTTAGTTGGGTATCTAGGCTAACTTTGCTGGACTTACAAACAAATTGGACTTACGAACTCCCTCTCAGAACGGAACTCATTCCTATGTAGGGGACTTATCATATGCAAAATTTATCTCTAGAAGGATTAAAGGCTTAAATGTCAAACTAAAACCATAAAAAATCCTAGAAGACAACCTAAGAAAAACTCTTCTGGACATTGGCCTGGGCAAAGAATTTATGGCTAAGACCATAAAAACAATTGCAACAAAACAGAAATAAGTGGAACTTAATTAAACTGAAAAGTTTCTGCATTGCAAAATGAATAATCAACACAGTAAACAGGCAACTACAGAATGGGAGAAGATATCTGCAAGTAATACATCCAACAGAGGACTAACATCCAGAATTTACAAACAACTCAAACAAATCAGAAAGAGAAAACAACCCCATTAAAAAGTGGGCAAACAACATGAACAGATATCTCTCAAAAGAAGATATATAAATGACTGGCAAATATATGAATAAATGCTCAATATCACCAATCATCAGGGAAAGGCAACTTAAAACCACAATGAGATACCACTTTACACCAGTCAGAATAACCATTATTAAAATACCAAAAAGCAATCGTTGTTGGCCTGGAGGCAGGAAAAAAGCAGTGGAGAATGTAAATGATTACAACCTCTCTAGAAGTCAGTGTGGAGACTTCTCAAAAAACCAAAAGTAGATCTACCATTCGATCCAACAATTCCACTAATAGGTATCTACCTCCAAAAAGACAGATCATTGTACAAAAATGACATCCGCACCCACATGATTATAGCAGCACAATTCACAATTGCAAAGATGTGGATTCGACATAAAAATTCATCAACTAATGAGTGGATAATGAATATGTATATGTGTATGTGTGTGTGTGTGTGTGTGTGTGTTTATGGTCTATATGAAATACTATTCAGCCATAAGAAAGAACAAAATAATGTCTTTTGCAGCAACTTGGATAGAATTGGAGACCATTATCCTAAGTGAAGTAATGCTGGAATGAAAAACCCAATACCACATGTTCTCATTTATAAGTGGGAGCTAAACTAATGGACTGCAAAGTCATATAGGAAGGTATAAAAGACACTGGAGACGCAGAAAGGGGAAGATAGGAAGGAGATAGGGATAAAAATAGCCTATCAAGTACAATGTGCACTAATGAGGGTGATGGGCACACTTAAAACCCAGACTTCCTCACCACTATACAAAGCAGCCATGTAACCAAAAGTCATTCATGCCCCTAAAGCTATTAAAATAAAATTTAAAAAAGGTCATGCATGGTAGCTCATGTCTATAACCACAGCACTTTGGGAGCAGAAGCAGGAGGATTACTTGAGCCCAGGAATTCCAAGACCAGCCTAGGAAACATAATGAGTCCTAGTATCTACAAAAAAAAAATTAAAAATTAGCTGGGTATGGTGGTGCACACATGAAATCTGAGCTACCCAAGAGGCTGAGGGGGAAAGATCGCCTGAGCCATGAGGTCGAGGCTTCAGTGAGCCATGATCATGCCATTGCACTCCAGCCTGGGCAACAGAATGAGAACCTGACTCAAAAATAAATATAGATATATACTGGGGAAAAAATCCAATTCCTCTAAATCTAATTCAGCAATCCTATCAATTTTATGTGTTAATAAGGAAAGAAAGCAAATATTTCTGGGTGAACATATTCATCTCAAAACTTTTCAAGAGTGTAAGATTCAGAAATTATTTTGTTTTTTTTTAATTTGAGTTCATGGAAGGAGAGAGTAGAACTGTGGATATTAGAGGATGGAATGGGCAGGGGAAGGGGAAGATGGAACAAGGTCGGTGAACGGATTCAAAATTACAGCTAGACAGGAGGAATGAGTTCTGGTGTTCTGCAACACTGTAGGGTGAATATGATTAACTATAGTTTATTGTATTTTTCAGAAAGCTAGAAGAGGGAATTTTGAATGTTCCCAATGCAGAGAAATAATAAATGTTTGAGGTGATGGATATAAAAATTACCCTGATTTGATTATTATGCGTTGTATACAAATTTTAAAAATTAATTTTTAAAAACTTTTCAAAAAAAAGTCTTCCATACGTGGAAATAGTTAAACTGACTTTTTCTGATTATGAGATTACATATGTCATTTTATAACATAAAATCATTTTGTAACTTTCAGACAAAACAAAACCTATGAAAGATAAAACAAGAATCACAAATAATCCTTCTCAAAGGTAAAGACCATAAAATCTTTTGTATCTATCCTTCCAGAGAATATATAATTTACATGTATACATATATAGCAAAGACCAGCTCATACTACATACACTTATTTTTTTTTAGTCAGAGTCTCACTCTGTCGCCCAGGTTGGAGAGCAGTGGCATGATCACGAATGCTGCAACCTCAACCTGCAGGGCTCTGGCGATTCTTCCACCTCAGCCTTCCAAGAAGCTGGGACTATAGGTGTGCGCCACCACACCCAACTAATTTTTGATTTACTATAGAAATGAGGTCTCACCAAGTGGTCTAGGCTGGTCTTGAATCCCTGGACTCAGGCAATCCTCTTACCTCCACCTCCCAAAGTGCTGGGATTACAGGCATAAGCCACCATGTCCAACTTATACTTTTTATTTCTCACTTAATATGTCATCAACAGCTTTTATGTCCTATAGGCCTGGGTTATCATCACTGTTTAAAGCTGCATGGAATTCCAATGTGTTATGTGCCATAAATTAGTAAATTCTCTATCGATAGACATTTAGCTTTTCACATTCTCATGATGAGTAATGCTAAGAAGAAAATATAGTAGTTACACCTTCTTGAATTTATTCTTTTACTTTATGCGTATTATTTCTGGGTCAAAGAGCAAGCGTAGTTTTGCTTAATTCTGTCCATGTCTAAAATGAACTATATATTGACAAATTGCTCTGTACACAAATTGTAACAGTACACAGTTGTCCCTGTTTTGCCTCACCCATGCCACCAGTAGCTAGAAAGTGTATTTCCAAAGACAGGTGCAAGTCTTCCAAGTATTCTGTGAATGTTCAATCCACTTAGCAGTAGCCAATTAGATAGTCTGACAAAATTTATTGACTCTAATGGCAGAGATTTATACTCGATCTCTGGCTCACTGCCCAGCTTTTTATCTCATTTGAAGTCGAATAAATGTGGGAGCTTCAGGCAAGTGACACAAGTAGCTCTCTGTCCCCATCTAATCTACCCCACTGCATTCTCTGAAGGTATGTCTCCATCCTTCATGCATGAAGTTCTTGCCTCTGGCCTTTGCTTCTCTCTTGTTCCTGGTTTTGGTGACCTTGAGTAACCTGGAATCTTCCATACCAGAAAGAGAATGATGGAGGGAAAAGGAGATGAAAACAAAAGTATTAAATACATCTTTTTTTAAAAAAGAATAAACATTTCAGAAACAGGGTCAAAAGCTAGACTTCTCTGAATTTACCATTTTGAAGGTTTGATTTGGAAATGTTTCAATAGAAAAATATCAAAATTTAGGTTGGGCATGGTAGCTCATGCTGTAATCGCAATACTTTAAGTGGCTGAGGCAGGAGGACTGTTTGAGGGCAGGAGTTTGAAACCAACCTGAGCAACATAGCAAGATCCTGTCTCTACAAAACAAAATTATTATTAATCAAAAATACTTTTAAGATCCCTAAAAAAAAGAAAAAATTGAAGTAGCCAATGTATTGAAGTGGTAGCCTAAGCACACAAAGAGGAGCTATTTGAAATGCCTTTAAAAGAGTAATTTAAGACTACCTCCTTAGTGGAATATGGCTTAGCAACAGAAGAACTGCAAAATTTTTACATTGTTTCAGTAGTCATATCAAGACTTTAATGCATATATTTTGGGATAGAAGAAATAAACATTAGTGTCCCTGGTAGACATAAGAAATAAAAGTTTAGGTAAAAATCCTGTCGTTGTAAATTTGTCTTGGAAGCTTTAGTGTAATCTCATGATAAAGTTTGTTTTTAAAAGATCTTTTTCTTAACCGGGCTCGGTGGCTCAGCCTGTAATCCCGCGCCTTTGGGAGGCTGAGGTGAGTGGATTGCCTGAGCCCGCGGGTTCGAGACCCACCTGGGCAACTTGGCGAGACCTCATCTCTAGAATAAAAAAAATTAGCCGGGCGTGGTAGCGGGCACCTGTAGTTCCAGCTCCTTGTAAGGCTGAGGGGGAAGGATCGCTGGAGCCCAGCAGGTCGTGCGGTGGCCGGGAGCAGCTACTGCACTCCAGTCTGGGCGACCGAGTGAGACTCCGACTCAAAAAAAAAAAAGATCTTTTTCTACCTCTGTCCACTGAAAAGTTATAGAAATGTTGACCAACCTAGTGGAAACGATTACCCCTGTCACCCAGCTGTGATCTCTAAATATCATTTCCCAAACTGTCATTGAAGAAATGGCTGTATCTGGACCTGAAGTAAATATTCAAACATACCTGGAATATTTTATCATACTGGAAGAAAGCAGCCTGTTCAAAATTTCCGGGGTCGGTATTCGTCATGGCGCTGGCGCCGCGGAGTTCTGCTGGGCCGCGGCGGCTGCTGCCGCTGCTGGCGCTGCTGGCCCTGAGCGTGGGAGCTGTCATCGACTGGCCCACGGAGGAGGGCAAGGAAGTATGGGATGATGTGACTGTCCGCGAGGCTGCCCACATGTTCTGGTGGCTCTATTATGCCACCAATCCCTGCAAGAACTTCTCAGAACTGCCCCGGTCATGTGGCTTCAGGGTGGTCCAGGCAGCTCCAGCACCGGATTTGGGAACTTTGAGGAAATTGGGCCCCTTGACAGCGACCTCAAACCACGAAGAACAACCTGGCTCCAAGCTGCCAGTCTCCTATTTGTGGATAATCCCGTGGGCACTGGGTACGGTTACATGAATAAGGGTGGTGCACATGCCAAGGACCTGGCTGCAGTGGCTTCAGACATGATGGTTCGCCTGAAGACCTTCTTTGATTGCCACAAGGAATTCCAGACAATTCCATTCTACATTTTCTCAGAGTCCTACGGAGGAAAAATGGCAGCTGGCATTGGTCTAGAACTTTATAAGGCCATTCAGCAGGGGACCATCAAGTGCAACTTTGCGGGGGTTGCTTTGGGAGATTCCTGGATCTCCCCTATTGATTCTGTGCTCTCCTGGGGACCTTACCTGTACAGCATGTCTCTTCTCAAAGACAGTGGTCTGGCAGAGTTGTCTAAGGTTGCAGAGGAAGTCCTGGATGCTATAAATAGTGGACTCTACAAAGAGGCCACCCAGCTACAGGAGAAAGCAGAAATGGTCATTGAACAGAACACCGACAGGGTAAACTTCTACATCTTAACTAAAAGTGCACATGAGTCTATGCTGGAGTTGAGTCTAGAGTTCACACACAGTCACCTTGTTCGTCTTTGACAGCACCATGTGAGACACCTGCAACGGGACACCTTAAGTCGGCTCATGAATGGCCCTATCCGAAAGAAGCTCAAGATCATTCCTGAGGATCACACCTGGGGAGGCCAGGCTGCCAATGTCTTTGTACACATGGAAGAGGACTTCATGAGCATCGTGGATAAACTGCTGGCGGCTGGGGTCAACGTGACTCTGTATAATGGCCAGCTCGACCTCATCGTGGACACCATGGGTCAGGCCTGGGTACGGAAGCTCAAGTGACCAGAACTGCCCAAATTCAACGAGCTAAAGTGGAAAGCCCTAGACAGCGACCCTAAATCTCCAGAAACATTTGCTTTTGTCAAGTCCCACAAGAACCTGACTTTCTACTGGATTCTAAGAGCTGGTCACATGATTCCTTCTGACCAAGGGGACATGGCTCTGAAGATGATGAGACTGGTGACTCAGCAAGAATAGGATGGACTGGGCTGGAGAAGAGCTGGTTTGGCCTCAGGGCACAGGAGCTGGGAGTCCCTGCAGCTGCAGGAAGCACCATTCTTCCCTGAACTCCCCTTGAGCTGTGACCATGAATGTTTCTACCAGCTTTCTGCAGAGGAGAAAATAGTTGCCTCTCGAGCAATTTGGAAATCATTTCTGCTTCATAAAAAACCAAAGATTAGCCGGGCTCGGTGGCTCAGCCTGTAATCCCGCGCCTTGGGAGGCTGAGGTGAGTGGATTGCCTGAGCCCGCAGGTTCGAGACCCGCCTGGGCAGCGAGACCTCATCTCTACAATAAACCAAAAAATCAGCCGGGTGTGGTAGCGCATGCCTATAATTTCGGCTACTTGAAAGGCTGAGGCGGAAGGATCGCCAGAGCCCAGCAGGTCGTGCGGTGGCCAGGAGCAGCCACTGCACTTCAGTCTGGGTGACAGAGTGAAATTCCAACTCAAAAAAAAAAAAAACCCAAAGATTTTGGAAATTGATTTGTTTTCATCAACATGAATAAGAGATTTACTTTTTTTTATTACAGAAGCAAATAATGTCATTTATAGAAAAAGTGGGAAAATGCAGGTAAACAAAGAACAAACTAAACACCCATATCCTCCCTTCTCAAGGATAAGCATGTCACCAATTTAGTGAATGTCCCTGCAGGGTTTTTTTGTTATTGTTGTTGTTATATATACACATATATATTTTTTACAAAAATGGAGTCATTATGTTATTTTACTGTCTACTTTGTTTGACATCTCAATATGTTCTAAACACCATTTCATGTCAATAAATGTTCTTCTATAACAAAAAAAATGTCTGGGGTCATGTCAAAAAAAAAAAAGTCAACTGAAGAGACTTTCTCTTGGCAAAGATGGGAAATGTGAGCCTCAATTTAAAAAAATAACTGCATGCATTATTCTCACAATAACTAGAATATGGAATCAACCTAGCTGTCTATGAATGAATGGCTATGTAAAGAAAATGTGACAGCCGGGCTCGGTGGCTCAGCCTGTCATCCCGCGCCTTTGGGAGGCTGAGGTGAGTGAATTGCCTGAGCCTGCGGGTTCGAGACCCGCCTGGGCAGCGAGACCTCATCTCTACAATAAATCAAAAAATCAGCCGGGCGTGGTAGCGCATGCCTGTAATTCCAGCTACTCGGAAGGCTGAGGCGGAAGGATCGCCGGAGCCCAGCAAGCGAGGCCGCGGTGGCCGGGAGCGGCCACTGCACTCCAGTCTGGGCGACCGAGTGAGATTCCAACTCAAAAAAAAAAAAAAAAAGAAAATGTGACATATATACACAATGAAATACTAATTCCTCTTTGAAAAGAAGGAAATCCTGCCATTTATGACAACATGAATGAATTTGGAGGGCATTATGCCAAATGAAATAAGCCAGACACAGACAGACAAATACTGCGTGGTCACACTTCTATATGTGGAATCTTAAAAAGTCAAATTCAAGGAAACAGAGTAGAATGGTGGTTGCCAAGGGAATTGGGGAGTTTCCCTCATGCAAGATGAATAAGTCTAGGAGGTCTCAGGTACAGCAGGGTGACTGTAGGTAATATTAATAATACTGTATTATATATTTGATCTTAAATGAGAGGACAGTAATAGACTTAGGTTAAGAGCATGCTATTGAGAGACCCAAGAAACTTAAAAAGCCATACTTGCTGTAAAAGTAGTGTTTAGTTCACTATATTTCATATATCCCTACCTCATGTTTACTATATATTTTGTGTATTCCTACCTCATGTTCATTGTACTTTATGAATCTTAGTACTTTAAATCCTACCTCAGACCCCGTAGAATTAGGCATATGTCGGGTGCCGGGTAGTGACTGATTGTGTAGTTATAATGGCTTAAGTAGTGTTTGTATTTAGAACTCTTGGGTTAAGCATTGTCAGTCCCAATTGCCATGCTGACTTCTGCTTTTACAACAGGATGTAAATGTTAAAGTGATAAGCCCCTTTCAGACATTCCTTTGCTATCGCAGTAGACTCTGAGACGCTAGCAGCTCTCTAGGTGGGCTTTATGTTGATTTAAATCACTGGCTTCCATGCCAGTGTTAATTTACATGCAGTGGCTATGTAAACCTGAAGGAATCAAAGACCTTTACAAAAACCGCCTTGCTATTAGACATTTGTGATATTTTATAAATTCCCAGAACTAGTACTATATGAATTTCTACCCCACATTCACTGTATGTGTTTGCAGCATTCATATTTAAAACTTTGTTAAGTTTGGCTTTTGTTGTCCCATAATGACCACGTTATGTTATGTAAATGTTAAGCAAACAAACTTTCCTAAGCATTCCTCGGGGTGAATCAGCAAACTTAATGGCTAATGTAACCTCCAGGTTGCTCAGGTTACTTTATACACAGTGACTGTGTGAACCTAGCTGATCTGACATTCCACTCTGCCCGTTAAATGGGTTTCTGTCAATCACGGGCAGTCAGGTTACAGCTCACAAAAGGCACCTACCAATACCAAGTGTTCCTGTACCCATTAGGAGAAATTACCCAATCATGTAAAATCAAGTTTAAAGTTCTTTCCCCTCCCTCTGTAATTGTGCATAAAAACTGCTTGCCATACTGGATCAACGCTCTCGTCCATGAAGCCTCTACCGGCTTCATGCATGAGCCCAGACTCAGGCCTGAATAAAGACCCTCGTGTGTGGCTCTTTGTGGTCTCTCTCTCTCTCTCTCTCTCTCTCTCTCTCTCTCTCTCTCTCTCTGATTAGAGTTCTGGGTTTAACATTAAATATTTACAACACAAAAATGGTGACTATGAGAAGTAATGCATACGTTAATTAGCTTGATAGTGGTAATCATGTCACAATATACACTTACATCAACACATCACATTGTCATACCCTAAACGTATGCTAAACGTTCATTATATCTTTACTTGACTTTTACACACACTTAAAAGGTTTTTATAGTAATAAGCTGAAAATACCATTTATATAAATATCAATTATAACTCTGAATGAAAATAAAGAAAAAAATCTCTAGTATACAATTTTTGTCAGCTATACCTCAAAGATAGAAAAAAATAAAAATAAAATAATAACTACAGTTAATTGAAACATTTAAACCTGGTACAGAAAGATAAAAAATTTATTCTGGCTTTGCTGTAAAAACTGTACCTCAGAAGAACAAAATTATTGATGAGGAATTTTACCCTTTAGAAACATTTTCAACTAATAAATGAAGGAATGACAGAATTGAAAAAAATTACTATTTTGTAACTTTATTATGAATGAACGGGTCTAGGTAATGATCATTAATGACTGCCAAATCACAAAAGGAACACTTCAACACTTGTGCCTCCTGAGAGGAATACATGCCATCACTTTCAAAGACTTTTTACAAAAAAAGAGGAAAAAAATCAAACCCAAATCCAACCAAGCCTCTCCCTCTAACTCACAATCTCTAGGATATACCAGGGACAAAGGAAGATTGTTAAATACCACCATGGGGATTCAATCATCAAATTCTAGAATGTGACATTATTCTTCACCCAGTTAGCAGCAATGAGCACGGGAGCACAGATATCTTTACAAGGTGGTGTTTTCATTTCCTCTGTGTATAAACTCAGAAGAGGGATTGCTAGGTCATATGGTAGTTCTAGTTTTAATTTCTTTAGGAACCTCCATAGTGTTTTTCATAATGGCTGCACCAATCTACATCCCCACTACCAGAGTACATGGGTTCCTTACAGGTGCGCTTTTAAAAAGACCCGTATTACCTGCAGATTCCCATTAAACTATATACAGGAGAAATCTTATAATACCTGAGATTTGCTTCAAAGAGGGAGAAGTCCAAGAAGGGTAAAGTAAGTGGGATTATGTAAGACACAAAATTGGCAGTTGATCATTGTTGAATCTAGATGATGAGTACACAGGGGGCTCATTATATCTTTACTTGACTTTTACACACACTTAAAAGGTTTTGTAGTAATAAGCTGAAAATACTATTTATATAAATATCAATAACTCTGAATGAAAATAAAGAAAAAAAGTCTAAGATATAGCCAAAGTAGTATTTACTATTTTTTAAAATCCTTAGATTAAATGCATCTTTTGACAAATGGAAAAAAACTAATGAGAAATTGAAATGAAATTATATTTAAAGAAATAAAAATGTATCGAAAATGTTGAGGCTTCCCTGTGCATCAGTCAGTTTCTGCCACAAACCACACCACAACTTTGTAGCTTAAAACAAAATCATTGATGTGTGTCATAATTCTGTGAGTCAGAAGTTTGGTCTGGGCTCAGCTGAGAGGTTCCTCTCTTCACACTGAGGCTCACTCATGTTTGAGTTGACAGGAGCTGGCAGGTCTAGGGTGGACTCAGCTGGAATGATTTGCCTCTGTTCCAAAAGGCTATACTGAGCTTGTTCTCATGGCAACAGAGCAGAGTTCTAAGAGAGAGTAGAAGTGAACGAGGCCTTCGCAGGCCCAGGTCTAGGCTCAGATTGGGCATAACTGTCACTTCGGACACATTCTATTGACCAAAGTTAGTCACAGGATACATCCAGTCACTCAAAACAGCAACTCTTCTCTCTAGCCCAAATCTCCATAGTTCTGGCAAAAAAAAAAAGATAAACTGAGATAAAATTTAGTTTTCCCAATGATAAAACCTAGAATTCATGAAAAAGAACTAAAATTAATAAATCTTCAAAAATATAAAGCAAAGTACATAAACTTTAAAATTTCTGGAAGTAGAAGAAATGAATGAATCTATAATTAAAATGGAAATCTTTAGTATATATCAGAAATCCTCAAAGTAAACAAAAAATGCACAAGCATTCTATTTTAAAGGATTAAAAAGACATTTCAAAAATCTTGATTTACTATGCATATAGAACTATTAACTAACAAATAGATATACAATTTTAAAGCACAGCTGAAACATTGCCAAAAATTATTTATTACAGTACATGTATATCTCAAATATTCCAAAAGAAACTAATTCACCTATAAACCAGACACAATATAACAAATTAGA